CCCGCTTTGGAGAGCATATAGACAGATGATAAAAGTTTATCTATGTCTTTAAGATACTTTATGGGAGATCCACTGGCTGTTAGATAATTCTTTCCATATGGCTGTATGAGCATGCCGCACTAGGAAAGTGAATTTTGAATCATTATAAATATTGACTTTCTGTCCTTCTCTGAGTTGTAAAGCCCTTGTCAAAGCTGTAGGTTTTGTTACATGGGCCCTAGTCCCAGGGACAAGTGAGGAACTTTCAAGAGTCTGATGTAGAGTCACCACTGTATACCCTTCCTTTCTTGTCTCATTTTCCCTGAAGGAACTGCTGTCACAGAAAAGGTCAAATCAGGATCAGTAAGGGGTGCATCTAACAAGTCTTCTCTGGCTGCATATGTGTGAAGAACCACCTGTTCGTAGTCATGTCTTTCAGCCTGAGTTTCCCCCTTTTCTGGTAGAAAGGTGGCAGGGTTTAAGGAGAAACATGTTTTTATCTGAATGGCTGGTCCTTCTAGAAGTAGACCTTCATATTTAAGAAGTCAGTTGTCTAATGGCCATTGACTTCCTTTGGAAGAAAGAAGTTCTGCCACATTGTAAGGTGTACAGTGAGATCTTTGTTTAAAGTCATCTCGGATGCCTCTGGTACCAGGAGAGATATGACAGCCACAGCTCTAAGGCACACAGGCTGTCCCTTTGCTACAATGTCTAATTCATGATTCAGATACCCTACAGGCTGTTGAGCATGTCCTCGATCCTTTGTAAGCACTCCCAAAGCCATGCCCTGTCTTTCATCAGCATACAGTTTGAAACTGTGTTCTGTTGGTACACTCAGTGCTGGGGCATCCAGAAGTGCTCATTTAAGCTTCTGGAATGCAGTTTGGGAACCAGGTTCCCAGGTTAAAATATGGATATCTTTATACGCTGATAAAAGGGTCTGCAATCTCACCATGCCCTGCTATCCAAAGGTGACAAAAGGCTATAATTTAGAGGAATCCCCTTAGCTGTTTTAAGGTCTTGGGCTATGGGAAGGAAAGTATTAGTTTAAATTTCTCTTGCTCCAGTCTTAAGGTTTCCTTAGATATGATAAGGCCCCAAGTATTTTACCTTAAGGCTGAAAAGTTGTGCTTTAGACCTAGAGACATTAAAACTTTTGTCTGTTAGAAAATTTGGCAGAATATGGGTGCTTTGGCTAGGGGGCTCTTCTGAGGGGGCATATAACAGTGTATCATCTACATATTGTAAGACCATGACCTGGGAAAATTCAAAACATGCCAAGTCATGGGAAAGCACTTGCCTCAAAAGATGAGGACTGTGAGTCCTTGAGGAAGCATAGTCCAAGTCAGTTGAGAGGCCTGGTCATGAGGATTTTCAAAGGCAGAAGAAACTGAGAATCTGTGTGTAAAGGAGTACAAAAGAAGGCCTCTTTTAAATCCCATACTGAAGAGCAACCGGGGTCTAAGAAAGGAGCGTGTACGGGTTAGGTACCACTGGGTGGATGGCACTACCACCTCATTTACCAGTCTGAGGTCCTGTACCAACCGCTGCTGTTCACTGAGTATTTGAACTCCCAAGATTGGAGCATTGCAGGGGCTGTTACAAGGTATAAGTAAACCGTGTGCCATAAGTTGTAGCTCATAGGAAATAATTCTTCTTTAACTTCAGGCCTTAAAAGCGTGTTGTCTTCAGTGAGGAAAAATAGTAGGATCTTTAAGATATATTTGCACTGGAGCAGCTCTTATTGCTCTTTGTGTTTTACTTGTAGTTGCCCTTACTTTAGGATTTATTTCTGTTTCCCCGAGGAGGAGTCATTGTACCTGACCAGGGTGCAGGTATATTACAGTATTGAAACAAGATATTTCTCCCCAGGAAGAAAAATGGACTTTCAGACATAATCAGACTCTGGGGCCTCGGTGGCTACTTGCCACACCCATATGTATCTGCAGGGGCTGGGCAGACATAATCAGAAAGGAATGGAACAAGAGAAAGCCATCACAGTCATAGTCTAAAGGTTATAAGAAATAGTCACTCCTCCCCAGTGACTCCTTTCACTTAGGTATGGCAGCTGGAAGGAAGGCCGGGATGTCTGGTTTCCCTGTGGCTTACATTTATATTTTGAACACAAGTAAGGATTGTCTCTTAATGCAAAGAAAGTCTGAACATAAGAGAATTCTGACCATTTTCCCTCTGTCTTATAGTACAATTCTAGTTGTGAAATAGTATCATAATCAGTACTTCCCTCTGCATTCCACTTTGCCTCTAGAGGGTAGGCGTGCACAAGTGCAGGAAAATATTAAACAACTCTTTCTCAATATGTGAGGGTCGAACAATTTCTAGTGGTTAAGAGTACATTTTAAAGGAGTCAGAGAATTTGACATTGAGTTTTCCGTCTGCAAAACAGGAGGAAAATGGGTGTTCCTTTTAATCCCTACTTGATTTCTGTATCCTCTCAAGGTGAGGTGACCTGCTGGCCTATTACCTTTTAACTGGCACTTGGAGTCCCATGATTTATTAATATGCATGTACATTTCCTAAATATAAAGTAGATTTCATAAAAAGATCTATTTTACATCATGCCATAAATTCACATTTTGATTAGTGTCAAAATACACTAGGGGACACTCTTAACATTACTTTTCCCTCATGCCATTAACGAAGAGGACAAACAACAGTCAAAACAAGTCAGACAGGAAAAGCAAGGAACACCAGCAAATGCAGCATATACAAAACAGGAATACATGACCTTACCCGCAAAAGCAAAATGTCCCCTCAAAGAAACATCATAATCTTCTCATGTTCTCAACCTGAATTTATCATTATTTTAACAAAGAACAGTGTATAAAAAAAAAAAGGCATAAAAATTCAAGGTGTAAGCAATTGACAAACAAGGATGACAATTTCAGACTACCTAAATGAGTCATAATCCAGAATCCATGAACAAAAGCAAATTCCTACTCCTTCCAGTTATCTTGGTGGGACCTCCAAATGAAATAGGGGGAAAGCGCCACTCCCAGCCAGCTAGATGTCAAGATACCGGGTTCATGTTCCCTAAAATTGAAGAATGAATTCTGAGTAAAAATAGAGATTGATTATGAGTTAAAAAAATTTATTGAGAGAGATAGCTCCTGAGAGATGAGGGGACCCAAAAGTGGTTTGCTCTAGACCTCACTTCATAGATGAAGTTTCATAGAGCAAAACCACAAGGTGGGTAAAAAATCACGAGATGGATACAATGTGGGTCAAAACTACGATCAACAATAAGATTACAAGTGTAGCCACTTAGGTAATATTGATCCAATGGGGAAGCAGGTCACGTAGCCAAGAGACACAGAAACAACAGACTTTTTTAGGAAGGAATGGATCAGGAGATCCTGGTCACCCTGTGGGTGACTGATGTCTATCTAGACTTTATTGGGCTAGGTGATACCAGTTATAGTAAATCTTAAATGTACTGCTTATCCCTCAGGGAGGCCTGTAGGCCTGATCATTCTGTCTTTACCTTGAGGCCTGGCCTTCAACATATGTGCCTCTAGCCACAGCTGTGTTTTTATCTTTTGTGCTGATCCCCTTAAGGACCTAGCCCTGTCTGACTGCTTGTAGTATTTATACCTAACTGAGCTGTATATAATAAGATTACTTTTTCAAATGATTAATCAGTTCTATACTGAATATAGTTTTCCATGATGACTTTGATGTTGTTTTTTTAATAACATTAAACATTATTAAGTCTTGTGAAATTGGGCTTTCTAAGAAATGTGATCTGAAAAACACCAAGTTTCCACCATAATCAATATTTAACACAACTCGAGATTATAAATAAAGGGCCAGTGTATGCCTATAATCTCAGCACGCAGGAGGATCACCAGAAGTTTGAAGCCAGCCTGAATTACGTGATGAGACCTTGTCTCAAAAAACAAAATAAAACAAAAGTTAAAGGGCCTAGAATTAGGACTAACTGGTAGATAATTTTAAAATATGTATAACTTTAAAAGAAATTATAAGCAAGGAAAACCTGGTTTTATAGTGAATTATGATAAGTATGTATTTTAGTCATGTTACTTCCTTTTTGAATATGTATGTTGATCCTATTTAGAATATTCTGGTACAAGTGAAAGGGGTAGCATATTTACAGTTTAGAACATGTGAGCACTGGTTGGACTGTTTTAAGTTCCTGTGTAGGCCTGTTGACAGTGAGTGCCTATAACTTGAAACATGTACACAGCAATCTGAAGAAGATACAGTAACTTTAGTGTAAATTACTCCTTGTAAGAATCTAATTGCCAAATTATCTGTGACAAACAGATCTAATTAAGATCTGTTTGTTTGTGTATTTTAAGCAGAAAGGTTTTGCTTTAAGACATTTTGAAAACCTAAATTGTAGCTGTGCTATAAAAGAATGTAGTAATTTTTTCTAGGTCGTTTGACTTTCTGATAATGTTTCAAGAGGACTAGTACTGATTATTGTTTTATCAGTTACCTATGACTTTCCAAAGCACGCCCTCTTTCCCACCCCGGCAAAACACCTCCCGCCTACTTTGTATCCCCACGGCAGTTAAGATGGGCCATGCTACAAAGAGGGAAACTGGTTCTGCAGGACTGGTCACTTGTAATGGCCTCGTAATGAGCCACTAATAAATACATTCTAGAACAAAGCTTGAGAGTGTATTTTTTGTTTCTTTTTTTTTTTGGTTTTGGTTTTTCTCCGGTACCAGGAACTGAACTTACGACCTTGCGCTTGCCAGGCAGGCGCTTTGCCTCTGAGCTAAATCCCCAGCCCCTATTTTTTGTTTCTTTGTGTTGTTAACTGTTGTCAGAAGTTTTCACACTGAACATGTTACATTTTTTTAAAAGTACTTAAAATGTGGGAATGGAAAGAAGGATGTTTGAACTTTAATGTTTATCTCTAACAAACTATTTCAAGCTGAAATGTCAACCTCCCTAATAAATCATGTGTATTAATTTGTGTAGCTTTTATTGCTGCTACTAAATATGTTTAAATGTTTATTATTCTCTCCTAGGTGTTGGATCCTGAACAAAACCATAACTTTACAGATCATTATCTGAATGTGGCCTTTGACCTTTCCCAAGTCCTTTTCATAGCTACTGCCAACACCACGGCTACTATTCCACCTGCCTTGTTGGATAGAATGGAGATCATCCCGGTTCCAGGTATTCCATTAAGTCATTATTTTTGGTGTATCTTACCTTCTGAGCAGCCCTTTAAAACTGCTCATGCTTGGAGTTTTGAGTAAAGAAGCTAATTGCTACCTTATGATCTTGGAAAAGTTCTGAGGAAGGTGTATAAGCCAGCTTTTACATAGAGTCAAATTCTGGAACAGCAAAACTTTGTTTGTTTGTACCATGAAAGTATGTATAGTCCTATAAGACATCAAGAATAAATTTTGACAAGCCGGGTGTAGTGGCACAAACCTGTAATCCCAGCACTTGGGAGGCTGAGGCAGGAGGATCATTGTGAGTTCTGGGCTACAGAGTGAGCTCAAAGTCAGCCTGAACTGCATAGTGAGACCCTGTCTCAAAGAGACAAAAGAATAAATTTTGACAATGTGGTTAGCTTTAATTAAACATTAAAAAATGATCATGTTGTATGGGAAAAAAACTCTCCTTGAATTGGTTTCTAAAATTACAGACAAAAAACAATTCATTTCTATAAGTGTCTAAAAACCAAATATATCTTCCTCCCTATCAGATTTTAGAGTTTTTATCTTCTATAGGAAACTTTTGTGTGATCATTTATCCTTGTTAAGTGATTCCTAAAGAGTAACTGAACTTTCTCTTTAGTAAATCAGGCCTCGTTTTTGTCTGAAAGTATACAGTGCTTTGAAGTTCTCTTTAGTGGACTGTCAGATAGTCATGTATTTTTTAGCACTTCTTTTCCTTCACTGGAGTGTGCAAAGTAAAGTCCTTTTAGCCTTTGCACCTTATTCTTAATTGCTCAGAAACTTTTGCCCTAGAAGGAATCAAGTATCAATGAGGAATTGTTAAAATGTAAACAGAGTAGTATCTAAATATATTTAGATTCTAAAAGTAATCATAATGTGTTCTTTATATTAATCTGTAGTATATTATTACTGTTGAGTGAATGGTGGCTGGATTTCTTAAAGCCTTGCAGATTCCTGTACTTAATTTGAAATATAGTAGCCGTAAGTTGCTTGGGTGTATTTATAAAACTAAAATGAATAAGTAATGAGACCGCTGGAAACTCCAAATTAAGTGAGGCAGACGACCAGAAGGTGCACTCACACAGGCGACATGATCAGGGCACCCCCTGCAGAGGTGACAGTCTTCCTCCCCCAACAGATTTGGCTGTCCTGGCTGCTGACTTTTCTGATGATTTTTTAATCTCCTCACTCCATTCAAAAAATGCTGTGTCAGTTTACATTTAATTTGCTGAAGATGTTCAAAATCCTTAGTCATTTGAGAAATGCAAATTAAAACAACATTGAGATTTCATCCCACCCCAGTAAGAATGGCTATCATTAAGAAATCAACCAATAACATATGCTGGCAAGGCTGTGGAGAAATAGGAACTCTTCTCCACTGCTGGTGGGAATGTAGACTGGTGAAACCACTGTGGAAATCAGTTTGGAGTTTCCTCAGCAAACTAGAACTAGAGGTCCCATTCAATCCAGCTATTCCCCTTCTGGGTATTTTCCCAGAAGATCTGAAAACATCCTGTCACAGAGATATATGTGTACCCATATTCATAGCAGCACAATTCGTAATAGCTAAATTGTGGAAGCAACCCAAATGTCCATCCACCGAGGAATGGATAAAAAAGATGTGGTATTTTTATACAGTGAAATATTACTGAGCTATAAAGAAAGATAAACTCAAGGCTTTTATAGGTAAATAGTCACAACTAGAGACCATACTCATAAGTGAAATAAATCAGACATACATGTGTGAACAATGTATTGTCTCACTAGTGTAAGAACCTGAAAGAGAATAAAAATTCGGAGGTATAATAGACACTGTGAAACGAAAGGAAACAGCTCAAAAGTAAAGAGCAACTGGGATGAGGGAAAAGAGAAAAGAAAGAAGGGGAAAATTATGTATATATTTATGTACAGGATAGCTAACATAGTTGTACTACTGACTTCTATTGCTTTATTGAAAGGAACAGTTAATGATTAATTGTTTGATCAATCTTGCATGTGTATATTTGTTTTCCTGAGTAACCACTTTGAAGATACCAATATGTAATATGATTGTTAATTTCCTATCACCTTGTCTGAAATTCAGTACTGCTTGTATTATTCTTGTGTTATCAATATAAATGGATGTGTTTGTTAATTTAAAAAAAATTAATTTGCTTGTTAAACAGGGTAAATTAATGTAGGTGGAATGATTTTCTTATGGACTTTAAAATAAAATAAGTCTATATTCATTGAGCATTCTAAATAAGAACGTAGTCTCCTTTTGAGTATCATATTTTTTCCAACTTATGGGAGTAAAAAAATTTTATAGTGATACCTTAGTTTTTTGTATAGCTGCTAAAATTTATGGCTGTGGTTCTAGAAATAGCTCCTTTGGAGCCTTTCCTATAATACCCACTGTTTATGCAGTTGAAGTCCTGTGTGCATGTGCATAAGTTAGTCTTATCAATACTAAAGAAAGAGGATGCATTTATTTTCCTATTTAAAATCTCAGAGTATTTCAGAATAAGGAGCTAATTGTCTTTAAGGTTTGATCAAAATTCTTTTTCTTCTGTTTGAGAGATAATATCACTTAGTCAACAGCTTTTGTGAAAAATTTGTGATTTTTACAATTATTGATTTAACTTTCCTTATCCTGATTATAATATCAGTTAACTACTTAAACTGTGTCTGCATTTGATTCATTAGTCAAGCACAGCCCTGTGAGCGTCGCACGACTAACCACAGACAAGTGCCTTCCTTCCAGGGTACTCACAGGAGGAGAAGTTGGAGATCGCCCACAGGCACCTGATCCCAAAGCAGCTGGAGCAGCACGGGCTGACCCCGCAGCAGATCCAGATCCCCCAGGTCACCACGCTGGCCATCATCACCAGGTCGGTCGCCTGCCTCTGCGGCTACATTTCTGGGAGTGTGAGGAGGAGCCCTGTGTGCCGGCCACATGCTTTCCAGCCAGCCCCGCCAGGCTGCACACTTGCACACGCTCTGTGTGGGGCATTTTCACAGACACTGTCACTGCAGAGGACCCACACTGAGCCACAACTTCTGCTCTGCCACTACAGCAATAAAAGAGATTAGTCTGATAAGTTAAGAGCCAAACACATGGGAAATATAGAAACACTTTTTATGCCCAGGGCCTTAAGGTTGCTGAATTTGCTTAAGAGGTAGCTGCTACTTTCAGACATCTGTTTTGGTTTCTTTTCTTATCTTTGAGTGCTTCTAAATCCTCAGAGTTTTCATTTGCAGAACAAACACTAGTACAATAGAGGAGGCTCTTTCCTGAGTTTGTACCAAGTGCTTGAGCCTGTAGCAAGCCTTGTATAAGGTGGGTAGAGGTTTGTTTACTCAAACTTACAGGTTGTTTGTCTGAATGGAAACTATGCCCTGTTGAGAATTTCTCTCTCTCTCTCATCACTCCTGGATCCATTGCATCATCTAGCAAGTTAGGTCAGGCTGCCAGGTACTCCTTGTACAGCCCTTTTCTACTACTTGATATTTTTCAAGATGTGAAGTATCAGGTTAATAATAGCTCTTAGTTATTGAGGACCGAAATCTCCCAAGCAAGTGTACAGCAAATGCTAAATAAAAAGAGGCAAATGGAATGATTTCAGGGCTCCAGGAGGATCAAGACCCTCTCAGAGAATTCAAGACTCTCTGGGCTAAGACCAAGACCACCTCTGGGTGGTTCATATTTATTTGGTTATCAGAAGAAGGGAGGTGAGTACTCAAGAAGGTTGGAATTACTCAAGGACTTCTCCAAGTAAGGTATTAAATTAATCCATCCAGGAGTGAGATGCCTGAGGCTATAGTCTTTATCTAGTTGAGATCTGACCCAGGTGTCCATGGCTGTGATCTCGTCTTATCCTTTGAGGCTTTCTGGCTTCATTCACCATTACAGGTTTTAGCAGGGATTAGTGACTCACAGAGGTTCGCTTACTATGAGTCTGTCACCCACTTCCAGACAAGAGACCTAGTCTTTGGATATCGTCACAAGTAAACATAAAAAGCCAATTTGTTAATTAAAGTCCTGCTCAGGGCTGCTTCACAGTGGTCTCCATCAATGAAATGTCTGCCTTCCTTAGAGTTTGGCTGATCAGATTGCTTTTTCACCTATGCCAGCCTTTTGGGGAGGACTGTTTGAATTGAGTCATAAAATGCTAGGCCTAAATCTGACCCAGGAGTTCCCTTTCTTAATTTGTTTTGTGATACACTCATGGATCCTGCCAGAAGAAATGAATTAGGTGATTTGCCAAAGTCTTCCAATAATATGATTCCAAATAACAACTGTTGCATCTTTAAGTAACTTTTAACAGGTGCTCAACCTTTTTGATAGCTTCCCCATCTGTAAAGTAGGAGTGATAGAGAAAAATGCTTAGGCTTGTCTGAATCTGAATTACAGTGTTTGTGAAGAGTAATCACTGTTAGTATTTCCTGCTTGTCTGGAGAACTGTTTCATTTTTATCAGATTTTAAAAGCTATGGTCATTAGGAACTTTCTCTGAGCAGTTTTATTAATTTTAATCTTTTTGAAGGCAGTACAAGTATATGCTACTGTAGACAAGTTTTAGATACTTAATGAGTTACCAGACGTAGGACAGAGTGTCCATAGTTGAGATTTCATCTTTTGGGGTATGCCATAGTTGTAGAGCAGTGGTGGTGAACCTGTGGCACGCGTGCTGCTGCGGTCTGTATTGTTATCATTGAAAAGTTACAAGGTTCGCCATCCCTGTTCTAGGCCCTTATTGTTCCAGTCCCCATGTTACTAAGCTCCCTGAATATGTCCAGTCTTATGTCATATTCTGCCAACTACCACTTGGTGAGAACTCCGGTTGTCAGAAAGTATTTGTTATGTTCACTTCCTTGAAATTTTCTACTTCTGCCTTATAAGAGCACCTGAATCTGTACTTTCTCCTTTGTATGTCCCTTCTGAACTTGAAAGAAAATAATATCAGATCTATACCCCATAAATATGCTCTTCTTAAAGCTAAATATTTGAATTTCTTAAGGCCCACATGTGAAAGTTTGCAGCTATATATATTTTATTGTTAATTTCAGCTACCATGGCAGAAAAGTTACTTTTTAAATATTATTGTCAAAAACACTAGTTTTATGTCCTGAAAATTATTAGTGTTTACTGTCTTGTGTTCAGGTTACTGTGAGAAACATCACCAGTGTTTTTGCAGGGCAGGGGATTGAACCCCGGCCCTTGCACTTGCTAGGCAAGCGCACTACCCCTGAGCTGTTTCCCCAGCCTGCATCAGCCAGTTCTGACGCAACACTGTAACAGGAACATGTACCCCGTGACCCTTCCCTTTTCATTAAAAGATACCAAGAAGGGATTGATACATCTACTTGTTTTGTTGGTCAGCTGTTTTATAATGTATTATCTGTATTCATTCATAGCCAGTTATTGTTCCAAACACATAAAAAAGTGTCCTGTTGTCCTTATTATTTGTGTCATACTTGAGTTCCTTTGCAACTTTAAGCCTCGTGCCTCCATGTTCATGCCATTCCTTGACGAGCTTCCTCACTTCCCCTACATGCAGCTTATGTCCAGACCCACTTGCTGAGCTGACCGGGGTTTTTGCTTTTCTAGGCTGGTTTGTTTATTTTCACAATACCTTACTGAAATTATGTGCAGTTGTAAAATACAGACCTCATTTTTTATATCCTTCTATCCCTTTGATTGAGATTTATTTAAGAGTACTGGGTCAACAGCTCTTATCTATCCTCTCTCATGACTTTGAAAATCTGCTTCCTTAAAGTCTAGAGTATGCCAGATTACCAAGTCAAATACAATTTTTCAGCTAAAACTGTATTTCCATACTGATCTTGCCCATTGCAGTCCATCCAAAGCTGGGTGGCCAAACGGGGTTGCCTCTGTAAGGGTTTATGGAGTGGCTCGTTGCCTTGGCTCTAGCACGTACGCTCTTTAGGCACTTCTCTTTAACCACATGTAGAATCTTTCACAAAGTCACAATGAAAATATACTAAGTCACTAAATTTTCCCAGCTCCTAGTAAAAACTATATTTCTGTCTCAGATTCTGTTTTTTCTATTCTTACTTTAGTTGGAGAAAAGCTCAGTTTCTCTGATTGTTTCAGCAACATTTTAAGCACAGTGAATTTAGAATGTTTTTTTCTTTTTCTTTTTTTTGTTTTTTTGAGACAGGGTCTCACTATGCAGTTCAGGCTGGCCTGGAACTCACTTTGTAGCCCTGGGCTACAAAGTAGCTACCATGAATGTGGCACTATGCCCAGCTCTTCCTTTTTTTTTTTGGAAACAGGGTCTCACTATGCAGTTCAGGCTGGCCTAGAACTCACTTTGTAGCCCAGGTTGGCCTTGAACTTGTAGCAATCCTCCTGCCTCAGCCTCTTGAGTGCTGGGATTACAGGTGTGCACCCAGCCCAGTATTACTTCTATTTTCAAAGGTGATGTTTAGCCAAAGGTAAAATTTTTCTTTGATGCAGGTATACCAGAGAGGCAGGGGTTCGTTCTCTGGATCGGAAGTTTGGGGCCATTTGCCGAGCTGTTGCCGTGAAAGTGGCAGAAGGGCAGCACAAGGACACCAAACTGGACCGAGCCGACGTGGCCGAGGGAGAAGGTGCGTGGCCGCGGGCCGGTGTGGGCGATGTGGTGAAGCTGGGTGTGGGGACGGGGCCTTCCGTGGGAGATGGGTCCAGGCAGTGAGCGTGCATGTGGCTTGCTGTGGTTTCTCAAGAGCATTCTCTTGTACAGGTGGTACAGTTTTTACAGGAAGGCTGTTCCATATTAATGCTTTGTGAACATAGTGACTTTCTCCAGACTTGTAACTGTGGTACCTACACTCTGCATACGTGTGGTCACGTGTCCTTCTGTTTCTTACCGACTCAAACAGTTAAGTCCTTGAATAATTAATAGTAGAAAAAGTTGTTACCAACAAAGTTACTAAACACTGAAAAAAATCCAAGCTGTCAAAGTACTGCAAGAGCAATTCTTTGCATTTGGGAAGAGCTTCTTAGGTAACAATTTGTTTTTCTCACACATTGTCTTTTATAGGTACACAGTTAAATGTACTGTCATATAAATTATGTTTTGCTCAAATAGTTGTGGAGTTGGAGACATGGCGGAGTTCTAGTGCTGTGATAATCAGATATGGACAGGGTGGCATTTGCTACCCAGCCGAAAGGTTTTCACTTCTTGCCCCAGAGCTGTGTGGGTTCATCCCAGGGTCATCCTGGGCTGCTGTGCAGTTTGCCCTGGGCAGGCGGGAGCTAAGCATCTCTTTCCAGTAGAGGTCTGGTCGCTGTCCTACCATCTCCAGAGCTCTGTTCAGGGAGCAGTGAGATGGAAGAACGTGATGGAAGAACCATATGCATGGTGGGCTCATTGGAACAGGTGCAGTTTGTACGTCTTCCTTTTTCCCTGTCTTGCTCAGCTTAGCACCCCTTGCAGCATTATAGTCAACAAACAGACGCTCCCATAATCCTGTGTTTCTGGGTGCTGCTTCACCCCTGCTCCCCCATTGCTTGGAACCCTACTGGTTCATTTTGTCCAGAGAAGAAACCTCCATCGCTTGCTGAATTGCAGAGGGCTGGTGTCCTCATTACACTCTGTGGAATAGGGATGGAGCTATTGCACTTCCGTTGTTTCTTGTGTAGACTTTAAAACTTTCGGCTGAAGGCCCTGCTGTGATTTGAATATATTCCCCCAAGCTTGTGTGTTAAAAACTTAATCCCCAGTGCATCAGTGTTAGGGGTGATTAGGAGGAGCAGTTCCATTATCTTGGGGAACTGGGTTCATTTTCAGGGTAGTAGCCTCCTGGTACAACGCTGAAATCAACCCCTTTTCCTTCCCTCTTCCTCTCCCCTCTCTTCCTCTGTTTGACTCCTTCCGCCCTCACCACCGCCATCATGTGATGCAGCACAGGTTGTGACCTTTGACCTTGGGCTTCCCAGCTTCCAGAACCGTGAGCAAAGCACTTCTGTTTATTATAAATTACCCAGTTTTGTGATGCTCTGTAATAAGAGCAAAAAAGCACTAAGTCCCACTCCTCACCCATCCTTTCAGAGATACCATATTAAGTTTCCAAGCCTTTGCAGATGTTCATGGCCAGAATCAACTTGCTATAAGGCAGGCCAGCCTTGAACTCACTGTATAGCCCAGGCTGGCCTCAAACTCACAGGTGATCATCCTGCCTCAGCCTCCCCAGTGCTGGGATTACAAGAATGTACCACTATGCCCAGCTCTTCCTTTTTTTTTTTTTGGAAACAGGGTCTCACTATGCAGTTCAGGCTGGCCTTGGGCTAACTTTGTAGCCCAGGCTGGTCTTGAATTTGCAGTGATCCTCCTACCTCAGCCTCCCGAGTGCTGGGATCACAAGCGTGCGCCACCACTCCTGGCCACCCAGCTCCTCTTACTGCCTTCTTTTTGAGAAGTTTTCTCTCTCAGTCTTTTTGAGTGTTCTGTTTCATCCTGTTCCTTCTTGTAAGTGTATACTTTTTTATTCCTTAAAAAAAAAAAGGAATTATAAAGATAAACACATGTTCAGACTACTGTTTGCAGAAATCTGTATTTTTAAAAACTGTCCCAAGGTGGGTGTGGTGGGGCATGCCTGTAACCCCACCACTCGGGAGGCTGAGGCAGGAGGATCACTGTGAGTTTGAAGCCAGCCTGGGCTACCTAGTGAGTTCAAGGCCAGCCTGAACTGTATACTGAGACCTTGCCTCAAAAACAAAACTGTCCTGGCTGAGTAAGTACCTCTTGGGAATGAGAGTCACTGCAGTAGCTGAAGGCAGCAGCAGAGAAGGGAAGCGTTTGTTGTTCCTTTTCCCTGCTGTAAGTGTGAGACTTACATGACAGGCTCCTGAATTCCCCCTTTTTATCCCAGCCCTCCTTCTGTTCTGTGACTTCAGGCATCTAATCTTTGTCTTTTTGTTCTTGTCTGTAATCTAATAAAGGTCAGGGGTAAAATGAGTTTATCTAGTTAGCATATTTTGAAAATTATGTTTAAAGTTTAGATGAGTTCTTTTTGAGTGTGTAATACATTCAGAGGGATCTGACATCAAAGGAAACTTCCCAGAGTCACAGTGCCTTGCTTGATGTTTATGTGTACATCTGTTAGCCTATTTCTAATAATTTATCTATCCTCATGTTTGTTATTTAAGAATAACCCACAAATATCCAAGAATATGTTCCAACAGTTTGTAAATTTTGTAGAAACGTGCAGTTTTTATGGTAACACTTACTAGTTTTTTTGTCATTCTTTTAAATCATAGGATGTCTCCTACATGATAACATAGCTGAGCAGATTTGAGTAGTTAAGATATTACCCAGGTCACTCAGATGAATAAATAATGAAGATAAATATTTGCCCCTTGAGGATAATTTTGTTTGCAGTTCTTATTATAAGCACAGATAGATTTCCAGGTTGCATCTAATTTTATAAGCGACCCTTGCGCTTCTGTAAGTGACTATCCCCCAGACTTCAATATAGAATAATTATAAGGAATCTTGACATGATTTATGGCAACAGCCACGCCAAAAGAAAAACTCTGCAAAAGAGTCTGTGTTCAAGTTTCATGCCAAGAAGTTCAAATGGAGCTCAGTAACTGCATATTTCTCACTAACAAATGAATTATTTAAAAGAGGAGTATAAAAGACAACAGTTGTTTTAGAAACATCAGGTGATGCAGCGTGGGAGTTATTTTTAATGTTAAAAATAATGCTGGACTTAGAGGTGCTGCCAGGAAGAAAAGTAATTTCAGGCCACAAGCTTCAAAACAAGCAGAAATCTCCAGTGTATCAGCACACTGTCTGGAGGCGGCCCAGAAGCTCTGCTCTGTGCGCAGTGGACTTTGTATTTGTGAGGTCTGAACTGGTAGTTAACCAGCAGCTCACGGTGGGGGCTCAGGAGGCAGGTGAGGCTGTAGAGATCAGAATCGGGAGGGACAGTTATGATTTCAGTCACTGTAGAGTATGGGAATTGTTTCATAAAGATAACACTGCCTACATTTTTCTACAGGTTTTTAAGTGTATTCTGAGTTGTTCTTTTCTTTTCTGGGTTGCGGGATACATGACCAAAGTTTTATTCTGCTTTTGCTTGCTTTTAGCCAAGACAAATATTCTGCTTATTCAAGTACACTTATCCATATATGTCCAGTTAATATCTGCAAAGATTTTGCCTCAGAAGTTACCCTTAGCAAAGAATTTATCTAGTTCAGTGCTGAGTGTATTCTTAAAGTTCTTTGCAACATTTTCCAGTAACCACTTTGTCTGGCCTGTTTGTATTAATAGACATGTCAAGCAATCATATGGTGAGGTGTGCTTTATTTATGTCTGTTTACCTTGGTATTTGCTGACTTTTGAATTTCTGGGCTAAACTCTTTCATCAGTTTTGCTTTCTGTTTGTTTTTTTTTTTTTTTTTCTTTTTTGTCTTTTTGAGACAGTGTCTCACTGTGCAGCTCAGGCTGGCCATAAGCTCACTTTGTAGCCCAGGCTGGTCTTAAACTCGCAACGATCCTCCTGCCTCAGCCTCTTTCATCAGATTTTAAGAAAAATTTTGTCCATTATCTCTTCAGACATTTTTTTCTCCTCCACTGGGATTCTAAGAAAGGACCTAGGTGTCTTTTATACTTTGTTCTGTTTTTTCATTTCAGTTTCAATCTTTCTCCCTAGTTCAGTTTGTATATTTTTCTTGCCCCATATTCCAGTATATTATTGCTGTCTTCTGCTATTGGTCCTATAGAATTCTTCACTTCAGAAATTGTATTTTTTACTTTTTGAATGTCCATTTGATTTTATATAGAGGGAGATTCTTCATTTAATGGCCAGGTTCTGTTCATACGACTAGGTTGGTAAATGAATCGGTTGCTAAATGAGGAAGTATATATAGCGTGTCCATTACAATATTCAGAACAAGGAAATGGTTAAAAGAAACTCCAAGAAGACTTCGCCTTTACTGGCATAACTCCTACGTGCAGTGAGTAATGTATAATAGCTTGTATCTAGATGTCCCCCAAAGCCTCGTGTGGCTACAGGCAGCGCTTTTCCCAGGTGGCTGGATTTAGCTTGTGTGGTGCTGGGATCGAGGATGTGATACTGGGATTGATTCATGGTGCGATGCTAGGATTAAGGCTGTGAGTGCTACCCAAGGGTGGGGAGCCTGGGTAAGATACAAGAGACAGAAAAGATTGCTTGCTGCTCACTGCCTTCTGCCCGTGATGAACAGTTGCCCCTTTGCCATGCCACCCTGCCTTCAAGCCAGCTGACTATGGAATGAAACCTCTACAAACTGTGAGCCCAAGTAATCCTTTCCTCCTTTACCTTTGGGTGTTGGGTATTTTGTCTCAGCAATGAGAAAAGTAACTGGTACATGCACTGTACAGCACAATCAGCAAAAATTATTATATATACAAGGTATGTATACAAAAAAGATACAGAGCCCTGTAAACAAAATCTACAGAACTATACAAAGAAGAAGAAGAAGAAGAAGACAGGTCATAAGTGCAAGTGGGGGCTGTAAGTCCAAACAGTGCACCTCCTACGTAAGTCCAAACAATTGGTCATTAAATGAGGAATATCTGCATATTCCAGTGGGTTCTTTGTTGAAATTTTCTTCTCAT